CCAACCAAAGATGCAGGATGTACATAAAACATGTTTATAACACGGACGCACACATAAAGCAGATAGATTAAACAGGAGCAGAGTGTGTTCCTACTTTCTCCAGCAGCTCGGCAGCGGGACAGCTCTCCTCCCCGTGCGCCTCCTCCTCAGGGTCGGCTTCCTTCAGAGCGTTCACCGGCAGACCGACAGCGTTAAACTGCGGACGTTTAAACTTGGTGGTTCTGCTTTTACCCATTTTACCGTTGTTACTTTAAAGTGCGTCCTGCGCGTGTGATGTTAGCTCGTCCAGCTCGCTCAGGTTCAGCACTGAAACCTCACACACACTCCGGCCTCAGCCTGGTTGGACGAGGCCATGTGGAAAACTGGTCCCTGCCGTAAAGCGGTAGTTGTTAACAGAAAGCAGAGAGGCTGTCGTAAAACCACGACTAATGCAAAAATCATTTAAACAAATGCACCACATGCACCACAGGCACTGGCTTATCACTGATTTAAGATCAAAAAAACAACAAGACATCTTCACATCTGGAGAATTTATTAGGTAAATAATTTTAAAAATAGAAACATTTAGATAAAATACACAATTGGCAACAGAAATAAACACATCTGAAATCATCCAGACAGAATAAAATATACCACAGGTTATGTGAGCAGATCAGCAGCTTCAGACACATCAACACTGTTTAAAGGGCCTGTTCTTTTCTCCTGTCTTTCGCCATTTTATTTCATTTATCATGATGACAAAACCCAGAGGGCGCAGGTCACCAAACGATCACTGGATAAGATCAGCCAAGACCAAGTCCAGTGTCTGAGCAGCCCACAAAAACCGGTGGTTATTGGATGTTCGGTCTTGGTTTGAGAATAAGTTTCCCCGTCTGTGAAAAAATACACAAATAAAGACGGGTTTGAATAATTCCTCCTGAACAGAAGCAGTCTGAAATGTCACGATGTTACTTACATCATCACAGGACATGTTGTATTCTGCTAAAACTGTCCGACATCGAGCAGCGATACTGAAGAGGCAAAGGTTAAAGGTGTTCACCAGTGAATGAAAGAAGTGAACAAAATATAAATCAGTTAATTTAAAGAAAAAAATTATTTTCTCCATGGAAATTGTCAAATTATCAAATCAACTGGCATCATTAAGAGTTTTAAGTCCTGCTTTAAGAGATCCCAAAAGAAAAGTCTATGATTTTTAGCAGCATCAGCAATTAAGAGCTTGACTAAAGCCAAAGAATGGGGAGAAAATGAAGAATACTATCATTAGCTGTGGGTTGCACAGTTAAAGAAATAAAAAAGATCTCCCTATTACATTTAGCAGGTAAGTTAATACATTTAGAATTATAATTACAATGGCTCAAAGTTCAAAACAAAACATTATTATGAGGTCTAATATATATACTTATTATTAATTATTTCAATGTTATAAAAAATACAATCTGTGAATAATTTGAATGACAGCAGACTGAAATCCCAAGTGACTTCTACAACAGGTCTAGACCACTCATGAAATGTGTTTGCACCTGAAAGAACACTCAAAATACAAGAACGTTTATGAATGCTGTAGGTTCTCTTAAGTCACTAATGAGTCACCTCCTCTGTTACTACAATCATGCCCTTCATGGTGCAACGAATTAGCTACTTCATATCAATTAAAATGGATAAAGGATACATTGATGGTGCCACAACTCGTTTGTGTATCCCAGCAAAGAAGAGAGCTATTAGAGTGATGCAGCTGATGGTGAAGAAGGGATGATTCCACAGTGATGAAAAGAAGGAGACCTGAGGAACAAAGCAACATCAATCCCAGTGTCAATAGCAAAATCTACAGATCTGACATACAGCAAGCTATGGAAGTTAAACTTAAGTGTATAAGAACATTAAATATATGTATTATTGGGTAACTCAGAAATGTCGTTATTGGACAGTATAAGGCAAATCAAATAAATAAAAGGTAAAAGGCAAATTGAAAGTAACACAAAGTCAAGTAACACATTTGTGTCATAAATCTCAGTATTTGTGTGAGTGTGTCTGTCTTTGAAGAGTCACTTCACATTTTGTCCTCCAACTTTGAACTTATCTCTCTCACAAAAGGAAGGACATAAGAAATAACAGAATCTATCATTCACAGTCTCAGTGTTATAAAACAACACTCAATTTTCCAATGGAGCACAATGTATATACTAGTAATGAGGGAGTTTTCATTTGAAATGACACAATAATACTCGATTCTTGTCCACTGATACATACCTTCTGTGTGTCGGGGTCTATTAACCAGTTCCAAGCCCCGGTAGCCGTACATACAGACACCACTATCAGAATCACTGAGATAAGAAAAGGAGAATGAGATCCAGTACAACATTTGTTTCACCATTCCAATGTATTTAACCTGAAAGTTTAACTGAATCAGCTTTTGAATTAACATTAGCATTTAGAGGAGTCTCACAATTTTTGTTTGACACTCATCACATGTAGGATTGAAACCGATGAATAGAAACGCATAAAATATATTGACAAATAGAGGCACCTTTGTAGCCACTACATGGTTTCGACAATCATAACCAATTGATACTTACTTCTCCACCTGCCTGTTGCAGGTTGCAAACAGGAGACATACTCTGTCAGTCTCCTTTCAAAGGCCTTCAGGTCTGAAACAAAAAAAACAGGAAGATTAACTATGTGAGGGGAAATCTTGCAGAGGGAAGGAGTGAAGTTTTTTCTAGACATGGATGATGTCTGAAGCAGAAGTACTTATTCTACAACCAGATGCATCAGGGAAACCAGGCTGATGAGATGTACACAGTTGTATTGCTAGATGAGCAGTCCTCGCAAAAAGGAGTATTATAATTCCTGCATGTCACAGTGGCCACATCCCTTTATGTGGAGCTACTCTATCAGACATTTGCCTTGCATACATGCACAACAGGGCGGCGGGGGGTTCTCTGGTCAGACACTTTCACAACAACAACAAATCCTCTGCGGGATTCAGGTGAAGGGTGGTGCAGCAGACAGATGTAGGATGTAACGAGTTCATTCAGCTGCAGAGATCACAATTTTGTTTACAGCACATGGACAATGGTGGACAATGGTGGCTGTTATCACCAGAAACACTCTTGTCCTCTTCGTCTGTGTCCCCCTAACCCCTAAACCATATGAAACCATTTTCTTCTTTTGTTTCATCTCCTCCTCCCCACAACCCAATAAAAAAGCCTCACCTTTCATTTTTCCCATTTAGATTAGTGTAACTCTCTGTTCACTTGTATTACCCATTTGTCTCTAAAGCCTGTCTTCACAACCATTGTTACGTCTTCTCTGTCAGTCTCCAGGAAAATCAGAGCATTCCTACAGAGATATCATTTACCTTCCTCAGCTGTTACATATCTAGCTTCTTAAAGGTTCAGTGTGTAAGATTTAGATGAAAGGAATCTATTGGCACAAATTGAATATAAAATAATTCTCATGATGTTTCATCAAAATTGTAAGAATTGTTGTTTTTCTACTCTAGAAAAGGCCCTTTATATTCAAATGCTTTAAAAAAAATACTAGATTACAAAATAGACCCAAACCATTACATTTCCAATATTATAGTATATTACTCAGAGCTATTGTCATGGCTGTGGGATCTAGTAACTTTGCTCTTGACAGTCCAGTGAAGTGCAGTTTCTCCTCACCCTGGTGTGTTTAATGTGAAGGTAGTAACCAACACGTTTGCTAACGCCTGCAGTCAGATAAGCTAGCAAACATGCTAAGTGCCGAATGAGGAGCAGCTAACACAGCGGTGCAGCTAAGTTCGTGACCCCACCTTAGCACGTTAGTGTAGAAGCATTTCAGTGTCTAGAGCCGCGACGCTAAAATAACCCGGTGGTTAATTCAAAATGAGAAGATACAAGTCGCTGTCTGTGTTAGTTACCTTCGGCCTGCTCCAAGGAGTTCATGTCTGCTTCTCCCTGCAGCCTGAGCCGCTGCTTCCGCTCTGCTGAAGGACAGGCCACACCGACCAATCCTCATTGGCTGTGTGGTAGACTCTAGTGTGATTGGACCTGAACCAAATAATGGGCGGTACGAAAAGCCGAAGCCCCGCTCCCTATTGGCTGACTAGCTCGGTTCAGAGAGTGCGGGAGGCGCTGTTGCTATTGGTGACAGAGACAAATAAAAGAAGAATATCAAAGTTAAAAAAGATACATGTAGTTTCAAATGTACATTTGAAAAATCTGACTGTTGAGTTTGTCAAACATTCAGCTGATTTGTTGTGGACGTACTAAATCAGAGGGACACAGTACTGATTCTTTTAATTCTTTTTTAGGATTTATTCATGATTGTTTCATTTATTGCAAAAACGCACAACAAATCCTCAAACAATCCCAAAACACAAATAAAACAAATAAACCCGGTATGCATGTAATCATGACATATATCCCTCTATCAAGAGTGATGTTGCCACGTGAGGCAATTATTATAATCGTATTCATGCATCCTATAAATATATGAAGATGTACATTTACAATACAGTATATGAAATATCTATAAATATTGTTTGTACATACAAATATCTATGAGGATGTTATCGTTGTAACTATATGTGTTAACAATTGATTGAAAGTTGATGATCAGCCAGTTTGTACTTGACCCACTATTACCAACAAAAATCTATCAGGTCCAATCTAGTGTAGCCTGCGCCCCATGTGTGCTTCAAATATGTTGTAGCAAGAAAATACACTGAATGTTAATTATTCTACAATAAGAAGAAATAAAAGATATTCTTCAAAGAGGCAGCACGATCACTGCCAAAGCAGCATTTGTAAGATTACAACTTCCGATTAAAGATTTCAAAGTAAAATATCACTGACGAGACATTTCTGATAGATTAGATGTGTTTTCTTTTGCCTTTTCACAATGTTAAATAACCACCTGTATATGTTGTGGATGATAATGTGATTTTCACCTAAAATCGCTGTCGCTATCACTTAATTACCATATTGTACTTTTAATTATGAAGGCTTCACTTCCGGTTTCTCTCTGCCTCGTTGTACGTTACCTTTCTACAACTCTTTTTGCGTAATTTACGTAACAAGCAGTACGTGGATCACCGAATGAGGAAGTGCACGTTGCACAGTCGCTGCCGAAGTTGAGGTTCGAAGAAGCGACGTTCTCCAGATATTCTTCTCATTTTCTACCAACACGTGCACAGGTTGGTACTTTGTAGGCCTAGCATTTAGCATTTATGCTAAGTGCAGTCTGCGCATGTCTGAGTTGATGAGCCTGTGAATGTGTTGAATAAAGCTCACAGGAGAATCTAAGTGTACATACATAGAGTAATCATAATAATAATGTTGTAATGCATCATGTTTGCAGCTGATTCCCTCTGAACGTTTAGTGAGTGAAGTTCAAGGTTAGATAACTACCTCAGGTGGTAGGTTAGGTAACGAGTTCACATCACTATGCTTTTAGTCTATATGTTGGTTTCTAAGTGGAGGGTTTACACATGTATGAGAACACTGTGTGTGTGTCTGTGTGTGTGTGTGTGTGTGTGTCTGTGTGTGTGTGTGTGTGTGTGTGTTTGTAATAACCACACTTACCATTGTTTTTCTATACATCTCACAGATTGATATCCTGCGATGGAAAACACACGACCAGACACGTTTTTGATAACTGGAGGTTGTGGTTATTTTGGCCATCGGTAAGAATCATGTCCTATTGTTTATTTCTCCAAGTAAAACACACTGCAGATGCTGTCAGTATAACCCTCATGGTTTCCGTGCTGTGGGTGCTGTCATACTTCCACAAGGTGGCGCTGTCTCATCGGTTATCTCAGTCACACTGGATCTGTGACGACCACAGAGCTGAGGCACATTTGAAAGTAGAAATGCATTTAGTCGTTGTGTTTTTGTTCAGAAGGTTTTGATTCATGTTTCATCACTTTTCCCTTTTCCCCTACAACCTGGCGTTAATTACAACTATATATATATACATTTTGTCAAAAATAATATAAACAGCATACATAGAAAGAAGAGAAAAGACAAGAACGAGGGGGGAAACCGTTTCATCTTGTTCATTGAAAAGTTCATTGTATATTTGGACAGTTATGTTACCTTTTCTAGTGTCTATACTTTGTAGATTCTTGGTATATTCTTTAAATCCACATAGAAAAAGGGCTATTGTTTGCCATTCTGCATCTATGGATGTGAAATGTACCATACAGATTCATTAAGTTTACAAAGAAGTCAGTGTCATAATACTCATCTTTAAAAAATAACATTTTACAGTGAAATTTAACAGTGAGATTAGACGAATGCAATAAAAAAACCTTCAATTGAGTCCAAATAGTAACTGAATGGATAAAAAGATAAAATAAGTATGTAAAAGACCCTTTTTTCAATCTCTTCAGCCTGGCGTGCTCCCTGCATAGAAAAGGTACCCGAGTCGTTCTGTTCGACACAGTCCCTCCAACCCAGGAGGTGCCAGAGGACTTTGTGTTTGTGCAAGGTGACATACGTGACTATGCACAAGTGGAGAGGGCCGTGGCCGGTGTGGACTGTGTGTTCCACATCGCGTCCTATGGCATGTCTGGCAGGGAGCAGCTGAACCGTCACCTGATTGAGGCAGTGAACGTTCAGGGTACGCAGAACGTCCTCAAGGCTTGCGTCGAGCACAGAGTGTCCAGGCTGGTTTACACCAGCACCTTCAACGTGGTGTTCGGAGGCCAAGTGATAGAGAATGGTGACGAAAGCCTCCCGTATCTACCGCTCCACCTTCACCCTGACCACTACTCCAGAACAAAGTCCCTGGCAGAGATGGCCGTGCTGAAAGCCAATGGCACCGCCATGCAGGACGGCCTGGGGGTGCTGAGGACTTGCGCCCTGCGTCCAGCGGGCATCTACGGGCCTGGAGAGCAGAGGCATCTCCCCAGGATAGTCGGCTATATAGAGAAGGGAATCTTCAGGTTTGTTTATGGTGAACCCAGCAGCCTGGTGGAGTTTGTCCACGTGGACAACCTGGTGTCAGCGCACGAGCTGGCTGCGGAGGCGCTGACCTTGGAGAAGCAGCACCGCTCTGCTGGCCAGGCCTACTTCATCTCAGATGGCAGGCCGGTCAATAACTTTGAATTCTTCAGACCTCTGGTGGAGGGCCTGGGCTATCCCTTCCCCAAACTACGTCTACCCATCTCTCTGATTTACTTTTTTGCCTTTCTCACAGAAATGATTCACCACCTGGTCGGCCCCTTCTATAACTTTCAGCCACTGCTGACGCGCACAGAGGTGTATAAAACTGGCGTGACGCACTATTTCAGCATGGCCAAAGCTAAAGCCGAGCTGGGTTACGAACCCCAGGAGCAAAACCTGGAAGAGGCCGTGCGGTGGTTCAGGTGCAGAGGTCACGGGAAAAAACCTCACAGCTCCTTACTCGGTCGATTTCTACTCAACGTTCTGATTGCTACTGCCTTTGCTGCTCTTGCTCTCTCTTTTCTTCCAGTCGTTGGCAGTTGAAGAGAAGCGAAAGCAAAAACATCATTTTCCACAAACGTACTGTACAAACCGTACAAAGACTGGTTCATAAATAATGTAGCTTGTTTACATGTATTCATATGTCAAGATACACGAATACATCTTACATAACAATGCTCATTACTGTCTCAAGTCAACAAAATGAAAAAGTTTCTCAGGATTCACATGTTTGGTTCAGGACATTTCCAGGTGATATTGTACTACCCAAACATTTAGAATATAACTGTATGTACCATATCATCCATTTCACCATGGTATAGTTGTTTATTTCAAAACGTGTGCAAATTGCTACCTTTGTTTTTCCACAACAGTTACCTCACAAAAATAAATATTTTTTTAAAATCTTTTGTAAAACTATATTACGAGAACAAAAGCAAAACTGTATGAATAAAACATTACAACTTAAATGAGTTTGTTTGATTTCTCATTCTGGATATGTTGTCATTATCAATTTTAAACCATTTCAACCAAACTTAAAAGAAACAAATATTTCTCCAAATTAAGAATTTGTGTGTGTTCCAGGTATTCCTCATGTTGTGGGGACTTAAATCTGTTTACATAGTCACATTATGGGGGCTTGTCTTCCTTTTGGGGACAAAAACAAGTCTCCAGTGCATAAATCATTACATTCTAAGGTGAAGACATGTTCTAAGTTTAGGGTTAGGTTTAGGGAAGTAGTAACTATGGTTAAAATTAGACATAAGCAAATGAATGCTCTGTCCTCTGAGGTCATGGAAACCTGTGCGTGTGTGTGTGTGTGTGTG